TGTAATGAGTGCAATAACCATACAAATCCACAAGCACTACCAGATGTTCGCTTCTTCTAATGTCACAAAACTGGACGAAGCAAACGTCTGCTTGTGTCTCGCAGCACATACTGTAAACCTGAACTCCTGGAGAATATATACAACATTCAAACATATGTTCATATCTTCATTCATTAACATGAAAAAAAAGTAAAGGTATTTAAAAAAATGGGATAAATATATAGCATAGTTTAAATCTCCTACCAACAATCAGATGTAGGAGAGGGGCAAAGTACTAGAGGCCAATCAGATTCCGTGACAAGTACATGTGCTGACAGGAGGAAAGATCAGAGGGATGACTGCAGCTCCTTTATTGTCCAGCAGTCCACTGGGGGTGTGATTTAACCTGTGTTCTTGACCACCTTTTGCCGCTGCTGACTAAGGACTGAGTATCCATATTCCTCAGTGGTTGGTCAGCCCCCGGTTCGCACAGGGTCAGTTGCTAGGAAGCTGTCAGCTGCATAGTTTCATTGGTTGCTAGGATGCTGTAGGCTGTGCAACTGACAGCACCCTAGCAACCAATGACACTGTGCAGCCAACAGACTCCTAGCAACCAGTAACATTTAGGCCTTGTTCACACCAAGCGCGGAGCAGATCCGGACCAGAGCAGGTGCAGACCGGATCAAAACAGCGTCCAATGTATTCCTATGGTATTTTGACCTCCAGTTCACATCGCAGCATGCGGATCCAGACCAGATCCAGACCGGATGAAAAAACTGCGGCAAGCCCTATTTTACCTGCTATTTTTTTTTACCAAAACTGGCCCTAAACGTATCCAAAACGCATCCAAAACGCGGCACAACCCACTGCACTGCGTGTGCAGAAACCTGACCGGATCTGCATTTGGTGTGAACAAGGCTGTAGGGTGGGAAGGAGGTGGTGCACACAAACATGACCTGCTCTTTACTACACTGCAGCCCCACTCTATGCACTCTGGCTTGCCTCTGTACACCAAATATGACTGGCCATAGACTGTTAGAATTTAAGGCAGAATTACAGAAATCTATTTTGATGTGCTGGACCTCCAGTTCAACCCTATGCCTTTAAGGAGGAGTGGAGCACCTTTGGGCATATTTGCATTCAATGTATTCACTACTATGGATGCTCCAATAACGAGGCTCTCATAGATTAGCGTTAGGACCGCACTACACAGAGGAGCCTTGACGAGGCTTCCACATATTTTGCAAAAGTTGTGCAACTAAAACCTAAGTTTTTAACATATATTGTTAGACAGTGTCATTTGTTTTTGTTGCAGGCCAGCTCGACAAAAGTTGGTTACTCAATTTACTTTTGTTAAAGAAGCCAGGCTGAAAATGTTCAGCCAAACAGTGACTGTGGCCGGTCAGCTGCAGTCACAATTCATGTATTCTGACACTGGCTGTCAGAACACAATAACCTCAGCGGAAGATTCAACCATCCACGCTGATTAGTGTGAATGGAGGAATCTGTTAGATTTTTTTAAACTAACAGATTTAGATTTGACTAAAAAAAAAATCTCTAAATGTGTGGCTAGCTTTAGGGTTGGGCCAAACCACCAGAAAAATGTTGCAAATGCTATATTGAATCGCGTTCACCATAAACACACAGAGGTGTACATGGGCTGCTAGTCATTCTGCATTCCTATTTCCAAAGTAAAGGTGCCCTTACCATGGCCGAATTTCGGCTGGTTTTTAATGTACTTGCCGAAATTCGCACAGTGAGTGGGGCTTGTCGGCCCCCTTGCAGTCGGCATTCCTTGATCAGCTGATCCAAGGAGCCTACTGGAATGAGCCAATGAGCTGCCTGCTCTGATCGGGTATTCTGCCGGCGGCACCTCTCAGAATACAATGTAAACATCAGCGATTCCTCGATCGGCACGCTGCTTGTGTTGATGGAGGAATCGGGTCAATTTATTTTAGTTCAGCCCACGGGTTGAACGAAAAAAAGTTGATAGGTGTATGGCCAGCCTAAGAAGGTATCAGTAAATTGGAAGTGTATTGTGAAACCTCCTCTCCGCTGGAGTGATCTCTTATCTCCTATACCACTAAAGTCCAGTTCACTAAGCTAATTTGGCTGACTTCACTTATATAAGTGATCAATGTTACTGCATGAAATGTTATGGGAATGCCTGAAAAAGAAACGCGTACCTCCTGTCACGTTTTAGTGAACCTCTGGCATGGTTATCATTTATCACACAGCGCCACCCTGTGGTCATCTTTTAGTAGGGTAGTAGGGAGAAAAAACCCCATAGTGTGAGATTTCCTTTTTCTGTAGTCACCAGGGGAAATAATAAAACTGGTTATATGTTGCCATGGGCTAGTACACTTATCATATAGGGGCTATTCACAAATCTGCCAAAGGCAGCCAAGTGAATAACCAAGTCGAAGTGAAGTGAGCCAAACAACGTTCGGCTATTCACCTCGGCTCAGTACGGTTGATTTCAGCCGCACTGCACTTCAGTCGGCCGAATATGCTCTGCATGTTTGACTGAGCTAAAGTGCAGAAGGACTTCGACTCAGCCGAACCAACATCTGGATCGGCTGAGCCGAAGCACTGGCAGCTCACTCGCTGCCATTTGCCCCTATTCCCATAGGAGCAGAATGGCAGTGAGTGAATAGCTGAAAGCTTTCTCAGCTGTTCCCGGGCAGATCGGCATCGCAAATGGTATGTGCAGGAGAACCGATCTGCCCTGGAACAGCTGATCGGTCCTGAAATCTCACTTCTCTCCGACTTTGTATTGCACTCAAAGTCATATAGAAGTGAGATTTCAGGACCGATCACAGTACCACCAGGGGCGTATCTGCCGCGAGGCAAACAAGGCATTTGCCTGGAGCGGCAGATTCGCTGAGGGCGGCACCGCGACGGTTACTGACCTGGATGCGATGACGCAGACGTCGGCCTGGAGTGGACGGCGTGTGCAGACGGTGGGCGGCGTAGTTTTGCGGCGAGTCTGTAAGCCCGGTGGAGCGGCTGTCCATGGAGTGACGGGTCCGTCCGGGGGGTCCGAAGCGGCGAGTCAGTGTCCCAAGGGGGGGGCGGCGTTGCTGAGTACCACATAAACACTTAATACACAAGCTGAGATCTATGGTGTGTACATGACTAGAGAACTGGCTACAGGAATCTGTCCAGTGTATTAATAAATGGCTCATGCTCAGATTGGTCTAAGGTAGAGAGTGGCATGCCCCAGGGTTCTGTCCAAGGCCCCATACTGTTTAACAGGTTTATTAATGATATTGGGGAAGGTCTTAATAGCCATGTTTCTGTGTTTGCAGATGATACTAAAATTGGGAGGGTAATAGACACAGGCTTAGACTCTATTACATTGCAGAGGGACCTGAATAAAATAGGGGAGTGGGCAACTACATGGCAGTTGAAAAATTTAAGGTAATGCATTTTGGGGTTAAAAACAGGCAAGCGGAATACACATTAATGGGAACTCCACTAGGGAAGTCAGAAATGGAAAAAGATGTGGGGTTATAGTTGACCGCAGATTGAATAACCACACACAATGTAAGGCTGCGGTAAACAAAGCTACTAGAGTACTGTCGTGTGTTAAAAGGGGAATGTACTGTAGAGACAAACAAAATGTTTTCCACTTTATAGATCGCTGGTTCGGCCTCATCTTGAGTGTGCGGTTCAGTTTTGGTCACCAGTCCACAGAAAGGATGTTCTTGAGGTAGAGAGAGTCCAGAGAAGGGCAACTAAACAAAATTAAGGGGCTAGAGGACCTAAGCTCTGAGACAAGGTTACTAAATGTAAACTTGTTCATGCTGGAAGTGAGAAGATTAAGAGGAGACATGATTTTGATGTACAAGATGTTTGGTGGTGATGGCAACATCAGCAATAAACTTTTTACAGTAAACTCCCTAACAAAGACTAGAGGCCACCCGCCTAAAACTAAAAAGATTCTACCACAAGCGGCTTCTTTTCAGTCAGGGTGGGTATATTTTGGAACTCGCTTCCACAAGCGTGGTATCAGCAGAGAGTATTGAATCATTCAAAAAGCATCTAAATACCTTTTCTCAGAGACCGTAAAACATACAGCGGTACAGGTACGCTTAAATACTAAGACTACACAGGGACTCGTATACTCATATACACACACACACACTTGAACTTGATGGACCTGTGTCTTTATTCGTCCGCAAATACTATGCAACTACTCTTGATCGTATGTCTTCAGCGAGCTCCTTTTTTGCGAGGCATGGTTCACATCAGTTGATGCTTCTTATGAACAGCAATCTTAAAATCTTATCAATCAAAAGTAGCTCTAAACCACACCTCCAAACTCATTTCATTTTTGGACTCCAGGTGTGCAAGCTACTTTCTCCAATTAGCTTTTGTTGAAGTAATTAATTAGTCTACGGGTTCACTTACCTTTTCCTCCTGCACTGTGAATGTTTATTGGGTGTGTTCAGTAGACAGGAGAAATTAGAATTGTTTGTGTGTTCTCAGCTTAAGCACATTGGCATTCAGAAAATATATAATGTTGGGGGGTTTTACGTCATTTTCAGGCCTAAAATGTGGAATATAACATGGGTGCAAAAATGGAAAAAAGGGCCTCAGTCATGAAGGGGTTAAGGGGAATTTATCAAAACTGGAGACAAAATCTGGAGAAGCTGTACATGGCAACCAATCAGCTTCTCTCTTTCATTTTTAAATCTTAGCTGAACAGACTGAAGAGAGAAGCTGATTGGTTGCCATGGGCAACTGCTCCAGATTCTTCTGCTCCAGGCTTGATAAATTCCCACCCAATGTGTTTGTTTATTGTTGTGACTTCGATGAGGATCAGATCCCATTTCATGGCAAATTACTGCAGAAAACCAGTGAATTGAATACTTTTTCTTGCCACTGTAGTTATTTATGACCCAATACCAGTATGAAATATGCATTGGTAATTTTTTTTAATAAAATGACAACTTCTACAAATGATATATCAAAAAGAATTTATTAATAATATTAATAATAATAAACAAGTAAAAGCCTTCATATAAAAACATTCAACTACCGGTTAGTATTTAAGGAGGGTAAAACTTCAGCATTCGAGATGGAAAGAACCTGCTCTCCCCCTTTTCCCTTTGCTACCCACATGTTATTGTAGCGTGTGCAGTGAGCGTCCTGTGCTTTGGGTTCAAACATGAGTCCACTGGATAAAAGTTCTCCACTGCTCTCACTGACAAAAACTGAGGGAGCCTTCGGAAGAAGCTCAAACTTCTGTGCAGTCACAGGCCAGCTCTGCCTCGGTCCATGCTCACAATCATTTGCTAAGTTTCTGGGACTCCTCGGGGTGAGAAAGAGGTTTTCACTCATAGAGGAGCTGCCAAGATGAGTTTGAGCAACAGGTATTTCCTCCATAGACTCAGCAGAGTCCGAATGATATTCTGCAGGAGGTCCTGCTGCTTGAATCGGATGGATGGGAGCTAAGACTGGTAAAGATCGTGCTGGGAAATTTGGAGCGTTACTGGCCAAGCTTGGAGCTGGTGCTGGTGAGACTGGAAGTTCTGGAAAAAAGAAAAAATGATTTACGTTTATATTTGAAACAGATTACACAGTTGGATTAAAGTGGCAATATATTGCCAGTATGGTTAAGGCTACATTGAAGGTCCAACAGCCTTACATTAGGCATTCGTAATAAGACTGATGGACTAATTCTTACATAGGAGACCTTTTAAAATGCCGCAAAAGAATACAGAGTAGTAATGAAACACAATTGTCTAATGTTTAGAGGGCACATTAGTAAATACAAGCAATTTCTCACTGGGCCATTTATAAATGAGAGCAGATATCACTAAGCACTCTATGTAATGAACCCCTGTGCTATGCACACTGAGGCCTATCCTATACATACAAACTGGGCCAAGGTGTGTAACCGTGTTGTTCTCTCTGCTGGCCATGTGACTTTGATAGATCAAAGAACTTTCATTCAATTATTTTGCTGTCCACCGCCCTCAGAGTGCTGAAGTCATACTGCTTCTTTTGAAATGTGCCACTAAATTCTTCCGAACACTTATTTCAGGCATGGGTTACTGAATCAGGTCTTCTTTCTGCATTCCAGCCATCCGTACAAGGAAAAAGCCAAGTTCTGGATTTTGTGCTAAAACACTTCTATCATGAAAATACCTCCATTCACAACACAATCAATGTTGGCAGGAGAGATGTGATCATAAACACGGCCTGCAGTTTGTATAAATAATCTGCACAGCAAGCTTTTAGCAATCATATAACTTGCTTAAATGCCTTGTACGAGGGGAGGCCAATAAGTTCTTACCCTCACCATGATCTAGATGTGCTAGGGATCTGAACTTTTGCAGGTTTATAGGTGGATATCATAGTATTATGCATGCCAATTTGTGTAGGTCGTGGTGAATTATAGTTAGAGCCAAGAGAAATGGAGTAGGTGTCATGCCGGACAAAGTTTAATGCCGGACAAAGTTTAACTTGCATGACGGAATAAATGTCAGTCAAAGTACCGCAGCGCTGAATACTGAAAAATGGCCTGGATGGGAAGGGGGTTTAACACCGCGGATGTCAACTGGTTAATACCGAGCCGTGATTAGGTTCCTCCAAAAAGGCTAAAGGTGCAACATTCATCCAGCAAGGTCATGTTGTCAGTGTTTTGGGATTGCAAGGGTATAATATTGACCAATTACTTACAAAAAGGGTCTATAATGACTCACCTGACCTTGCACCTTCAGACTTCTTCCCGTTTCCAAATCTGAAGAAACATTTACAGGGAAGACGTTTCCACAATGGTGAGGCAGTCATTACTGAAGTTGATAGCTGGTTTTCCTCCAAATCTGCATACTTCTACGCAGATGGTATTAAAGGTCTGTTCCACAGTTGTGAGGTGTGTAACCATAGGAGGTGGATATGTAGAGAAGGAAGAGTCTGGACTAAATTTCAGATCCCTAGCACATCTGGCTCATGGTGAGGGTAAGAACTTATTGGCCTCCCCCGGTATTAGATCTATGATCAGGCTATGGACATTTAGGCATTTACATATTCTTATCAGTACCTGAGCTTTAACCAGTGTTTATATGTGCGTAAACGTGGGGGTGGGGGAGTTAAACATTTTGGGTTTTTTTTTTTTACTTTTTTTATATTTTACTTTTTTACATGTTACTTTCATTTTTTTTTATTTTCTGGAGACGGCAACCCACCAATGCTGCAGTGCCGTCCGTCCGTTTTTTTACAACGGGCGGACGGCAAGTGGTTAAACAAGCCCTCACTGATCCCCGTAGCTGCTGGCACTGTGGGGCAATTCAACCTCAAAGAACACAGCAGAAGCACTGAAGTCAATCAAGATCTCACACTCTGCTCCCCACTCCCAGCAATGACTTGGCAGCCTTCCAGACTTCTAATCTTTAATGTAAATACAGAGCCAGTGCTCTGTGAAGGGTAGTAAAGGAAGCTGAGCTGCTGAAAGAATTACTTGAAACACTTCAGGGTACTTGAGGGTGAATTACAACTGAATCAATAAAGTACTCAATCTTAAAGTGTTTGTTAGCACCCTCAGAGATGACACATAGGCCCAGCAGAGGAACCATGTACAAACAAATATAAAAATACAAAATCACAAGGGACATTATCTAGAAAGGAACATTACTTTGGGGCAATCTTCTGTCCGTATACTCAACAGCAAACTATTTAGTCACACCACAATTTGTAAATTGATCTGTGTGTTTTTGCTCCATTGCAATCAGTGAAATTCTTCCTTTTGTACATAAGCGCACATTCTGCAATATAAGTTTGGGTCTAAATAGCGGTTATAACATAGCTGTTCTATCTGATAAATGAGGCCCTTAGCTGCTCATCTGCCATACCATTCTCCTCATGAACTGGAAGGACACCATGGCCAGGCTCATCATGACCAGCATGTCTATTTGCATCTTCTGGGGATATTTTGTTGCTTTTCTTTTTCTTCTTCTTCTATGGGCAATAAAAATCAAATATTCTGAAATTTGTTATGCAGTGGGTATGAAAATCAGGTGAAAAACTGGAATTATCCGACAGCAAATCAATCATCAAATTTTAGGTAACAAATGCTTTTTTCTTTCTCTGTACGGACAGTTCCGTGCATCCCTATATAACCGTGTTTCCCCAAAAGTAAGACCTACCCCGAAAGTAAGACCTAGCGCTATCTTCAGGGATTTCTGTAATATAAGACCTACCCCGAAAATAAGACCTAGTTCGGTGGTAGGTCTTATATTACAGAAATCCGCTAGGTCTTACTTTCAGGGTAGCTGCACATAAACTGAATTTTAAATGTAAAGACCGGCCGCAGCTCCCGCCTACACGCCCGATGGCCGCAGCTCCCGCCCACTCGCCCGCACGCACGATGGAAGCGGAATATCATCCGCCGACACCGGGACCGGCAACAGCACGCCGCCTTCCGGGACCTCGTCCAGTCCTCCCCCCAGCCAGGTAAGACATGCCCCGAAAATAACTTTCCAGCATGTCTTTGGAGTGTGGGAGGAAACTCACGCAAGCACAGGGAGAACATGCAAACTCCATGCAGATAGTGTCCCTGACCGGGATAAGGCAGACGTACTAAACACTACACCACTGTGCTGCTCATATAGCATATAAACACTAACACTGCTGACCGTTCCTTCTGAAAATGCTAGTTGCCCGACTGTCACGTTAAACCAATGGCTTTAATACTTTCTGACCTGGAAATAGAATGTGAATCAGGATTTCTGACGTCACTCTAAATTTCTAATCTGCATACTTTTCGGGGACCGTAAGGCCCCGTTCACATTGAGCGATTTATCGCGCGATTTTTGTAGCGATATCGCTCATATTTCCGCACTATATCGCTCTATGTAGCTTCACCAATACATTTCAATGTAGCTGTTCACATCTCGTCGCTCAATGTCGCTCAATATCGCTTGTAGCTCGTCGCTGGTAGCTTGTCGCTTCTACATGACCCTTTTTTAGAGCGATTTTGAGCGATATTGCTCCTGATTGCATACAGCCCAATAGGAAGAAGTCGCGCGACACGTCGCTCAATGTCGCTCGTCGCTCAATGTCGCGCGATTTCCATGTCGCTCAGTGTGAATGGGGTCTCACCAATACAATTCAATGTAGCTGTTCACATCTCGTCGCTCAATGTCGCTCAATATCGCTTGTAGCTCGTCGCTGGTAGCTTGTCGCTTCTACATGACCCTTTTTTAGAGCGATTTTGCTCCTGATTGCATACAGCCCAATAGGAAGATGTCGCGCGACACGTCGCTCAACGTCGCTCAATGTCGCTCGTCGCTCAAAGTCGCGCGATTTGCATGTCGCTCAGTGTGAATGGGGTCTTAATGAGAACCACTGAAGTCAGAGGCAGCCAACCCACTAGTATTCTCCAAGAGTTTAATGTTTCTCAGTACAGGTTTCCATTAAGGGCCATGTCAGATGACAAACCTGCTTCTAGGTGTCAACTTTCCAGCAACAGGATTGCCGCCAGGCCACATTCGCATAAGCTGGATCAGTTTTGCACCATCCCAGACTATTGAGGGAGTCATTGGATAAAGTGGTTCCCTTGCCTGGCTGATTCTGCCATTGGCAATGTGTGGTGGAATCGCTCAGCTCTAAGACAGACTGGCATAAAACAATATGTTACCCATTGTAGTTGGGAGTTGTAATTGTATGTAAACAAATGCATACAATGTTACATCTTATGACAAAAGATGTTCAGAAGCTTCTAGTAGTAACACCCATATGACTGCTACTATGTCTACATTTACAATGTTGATGCCGGATTCATTATCCATCGTCCTTATTGAAGGGACGATGGATAATGGGTATAATGGGTGAGGCATGAGACACACGATCTGTGATGAATAATTACCTTCTTTGGCTTCTGCTGTAGAGCTGGTGATAGCTTATGGTCTGAATCGGGGTTGCCATCTGCAATTTCAGCATTTACAGACATAGGAGAGCTAAAAAGATACAAAATGTACAAAATTGTAACATTTTCTTTGGTGCAAATGTTGTCATATGATCTCCAATTACCTGACCTTATGCAGGAAGGACTCATGAAACACATCAGTACTGCTTACATTTAGGGATGTACCAATACCGTTATTTTGGTATCGAGTGCCGATATTTATCTTTCTGTATTCGCCAATATCGAATACCAATACCGGTACTTCCCTAGCATGGAGCCGACTTCCCCGGGAAATTGCGAAGTCGGGCAGCATGTCAGTACTTGCCGCCCGGCTTCTTGATTGCCGGGGAAGCCGGCTCCATGCTGTTTGGCCAGCAAGTCAGCTTCCCAGCCAATCAGGAAGCTTGGAGGCAGGTCATTACCCACCTTCCTGATTGGCCGGGAAGCTGGCTCCATGCTGTTTGGCTGGCTCGAAGCCGATTGGCCGGGAAGCCAGCTTCCCAGCCAATCAGCATGGAGCTGGCTTCCTGGGTCATATCAGGAAGGCTGGCGGTTGTTAATGACTCGCCGCCCGGCTTCCTGATTGGCCGGCTCCATGTTCTCTCACTGTACTGCTGGTCAGAGGCGATGTCCCTCTGACCGGAAGTTCTGGTATCAGGGAAGGTATCGGAGCATTTTGGCGAGTACGAGTACTCGCCCAAATAATCGGTATTGGAATCGATACTAGTATTGATATTGGTGCATCCCTAGTTATAATAATGAATACATGTTCAGCTATAGGATATTTAGAAAGGAGATCTGTGTGGTCAGATGAGTCAATACAAGTGTTTGTTATCCTCAGGCATTTAACCCCTTAGTGACCAGTGACGTCCATAGTACGTCACAGGCACCGGGCCTGTTTAAAACAGACTCCCGGCGTCTTTACAAATTGTAAAACAGACTGTCGGCTTTACAATAGAAGCAATCAGGTGACTCAGCTGTCACCCGGGCCGCTCCACCCGCCCGACACCCCGACCGTGTTTCCCGGGCTCAGTTGCCCCCTCTTACGGGGCTAACATCTAAAGAAAACCAAGAAGACAACAGACATACTGGTCTACAAGACAGCTAAACAGGGTGATCAAATCTGCAGTTTTACAAGAAGAAAGAAGGGAGAAAGTCTTCAAAAAGATAATGCGAATATTTAAGTAGGGAATCATGCATTTAAGTACAGTTTCCTTCCCACCTAGGGAAAAAAAGGAGCAATTAAAATGGGCCAGAAAAGCATTTAAAAGACACTTACATGCACATGCCCTTTATACATATGCACCTACAATTTATTTTTTTAATTACATGCAGAGCTTGAATTTCACTTACTCAGTGTTCAGTGACCCTGATGAAGGACCCTCAATCAGTACCTCAGGATTTGTATATATGAGGCTTCCTCCATAACTCTCCTCCTGAGGAACAAAGCAGAATGTTAACTTGTACGACCACTACACCCCTAAAAGGAATATTAGGTTAAAAGTTAAACATGACCATTTTCCATATGCTAGCTCCCTTGGCGTGTTTGAAGGTCGAGAGCCATGGATCTACCTCCGTGCCTCTAAAGTGGACTGCAAGGTCCTCTAATAACATACAGGCCCACCCTTCCATGTCAAAAACACTGCATTTTACCCATAAAAAAACACCCCTGTGCAGAAAAATTAACTTTAACTGAAGAGAGTGATGTCACAATCCTTCCAAAAAGATTCTGGGAACACCAAGTATCCCAAATCTTGCAAGATGACTCTCTTGCGCTGTGCTAAAACATCACAGATCTGGGATCCTCATCATTCCCAGTACTTCACTGGAAGAATTTCATCATAAAAACGTGCCTGGGTGCCGCAGGCAGGAGCTGGGTGCACGATAAATATATTTCCTAGTTTTAGAGTTAGAGAAAGCTCAGGATGCCCATTGTTTGGCTGCTTTAGTCAGTCAGCAGAGTCTGACAAAAAAAGAAACAACTGCTAGACTATTTAGCCACAGAAGCAGATTTTTCCTCTCACTATGCACTCAAAGTTGAAACAGCCAAGCAACGTTACATAGTCAGGTTAAAAAAAAAAGACACATCCATCGAGTTCAACCTATAGAGATAGGGATGCACCGATACCGGTATTTCGGTATCGAGTACCAATATATATATTTTTTATACCGAGTAGTCCCATTCAGGAAGCCAGGCGGCGTGTAAAGACTCGCCACACGGCTTCCCGAGTAGCAGGGAAGCCGTCCCCATGCTTCTTGTCACCAGGTCAGGAAGCCGGGCACTGTGTAATGACATGGCACCCGGCTTCCTAAATTGGCCAGGAAGCCGGCTCCATGCTCCCTCCCTCATGAAGCCGGCTTCCCGACCAATCAGAAAGCAGGGGCGCTGCATCATTTCACGGCACCTGGCTTCCTGATTGGTTGGAAGCTGGTCAATCAGAAAGCCGGGCAGCGCGTAATTACATGCTGCCCGGCTTCCTGATTAGCCGGGAAGACAGCATTTGGGCGATTGTATTGTGAGTTTTGGTTCTGTATATACTAGTGGACATCCATTCTGCCTCGACTGCTGTTTACTTTGTTATAATGTTTAATCATAAACATAATAATATGATGTGCAGCACTGTGTTCTGGATTTGGGGACTGCATACATGACTCTAAAAGTCTAGCAGGTTTCTTCTAGCATATTCATCGTTTAGACCAGGGGTGCCCACAAGGTCGATCGCGATCTACCAGTCGATCGCGTAGCGATCACTGGTAGATCGCCATGTCCTCTCCTCCCGCCGCTTCTCTGGATCCCCGCTGCTCTCCCCAGTAAATAACTATGTGTCCCCAGTTATAAATTAATGAACAGGGGGTGATTTAAATCACCTCCTGTTCATTCATAAGTTTCTCAATGGGGAGAAGCACTCTGTACAGAGGCTCCTCCCCATTCAGAAACAGCTTGATAGTAAATATTTTCTGAATGAATGGGAAGCCTCTGTGTTTTCCATTCATTTAGAATAGAGGCTGCAGAAAAAGAGATTGAGGACTTTGTATCCTCAATTTCTTTTTCTATTTTAAAAAGGGAAATATCAGGGGGCTTTTTAGATCCCTAATATTTCCACGAAGCCCCCTCCAAGAGTAAAAAAAAAAAAATTATGAAAATTTAAAATAAATAAAAATAATGAAAATTAAAAAAAAATAGTAAAAAATAAATTTTAAAAACTTTGTGTTTTTTCCTTGCCTCAGGCGCAAAAGGAGCTGGCTACGGCTATGCTCCCGTGGTGCTCGTGCGGCTGCCGGCAGAATGTGTCAGACGCTGCAGATGGAAAGGTGCAGGACGCCCCATGTGCAACGTCGGCCACACGAGCACCACGGGAGGACAGGACGCTGGGACCTGTAATGTACTGGAATGTAAGCAGGCCGACTCCCTGCGTTCCGGTGCGGGAGGGGGTGTGGAGCTGTATTAAAGTCAATGGCATCGCCCACAGTGTGATCGCCCGCACTCGGAACGCAGGCACATTAGTGCCTGCATTCCGGTCCAGTGCGATCTGCAAAAATAGTGCTCGCAGCATTTTTGCGGATCGCACTGCACTGGAACACAGGCACTAATGCAGGCGATCGCACTGTGGGCGAGGGGCCTGCCTACGCCCCCTCACGCCCCTGAATGCAGGTGTTTTTTCGTTGGTAGATCTCAATGAGCTCGTCATTTGAAAGGTAGATCTCCAGACAAAAAATAGTGGGCGCCCCTGGTTTAGACTTTACCTGTGCATGGCCTGTAGGTGGCGTCTTCCCCTCTTCCAGACACTTGCTATTTGATTTCATTTCCTGCTTCTGCCGCTGGTGCATTATGTACTCATATGTGCTGAGCTTATGCCACACTACAAAAGAAAAAGGGTACATTGTTTTTAACACGCAAAATCTGGCAATAACTAAACTAAATGTTTAGTTTCTCATATTAAGAACATTCATTTCTAAAAGCACAAACAGTAACATATCACAGCGTTGACACATCTGCTAATATTGTCTGCATTTCAAGGAGCCAAGTTAGAGGGCAATTTCTGAATGTAGGCTGTAGAGCATGCATTATTAGGATCACACTCAGACCTGCAGCATTTCTGTAAACGGATGCTAGAGTCCTAGGGAAGACGTTTGCAATTACTGACTATCAGAAAGTCAGTATTTGCGTAGGGGTGCTCCAGTAGAACTAAGAATGCATATGTAAAAACATTGCTATTATGACAATAACCTTACATCTGTTTCTAAAATGCAGGTTTGCTTTAAGAATAAGAGTCCACAGCATTCAGAAAGAATTCCTAGTTGAATAAGGAGCCCACCAAGCACTATTTGTATCTACAATTGCCATATAATAAAACTCCATTATAGTGCAAGGATTTCTGTAAAAAAGTTTAGCATTGTGTTCCAATGATTTTAATGGACATCCACACTTGCAGGGATTTGAACTGGGCAGCAAGATGGTTTTCGGTTTAGCCCTGTGGCCCTACAAAGCTGAGATCTGGTTTTTTTAATTGCTACTAGGGCATTATCCATGCATATTTCTTATCTTTTCCCCATGTTTGGATGAGATTCCTTCAGCTACTCTGATTTCCTCCCACAGATCCAGACATATGAATTATCTGCCATCTACATTCATTGCAACTGTGTTTTTCTGTATAACTGTGGCAAAGAAATAAGAACAGAAGCTGATGTTAATGTACTTCTATGTACTCAATAAAATATGGTAGAGCTATATCAATTAATAACTATGGTAAAAACGCATTAGACAAGTCTTCCACCTTAGCATGCTATAACCGAGTAAGTGTGCACCAAGCAAAAAAAAGTGCAGCTCTTGAAACGCTATTGTATAGTTCCCTAATTTCCTCTAACCTGTGCTAACAATCATCTTGGTGTAGTGGAAAGGGCGGGCACAGGTAAGGGGTGGGAGATGCAAAATAAGAAAGATAATAGTGTTAAAAAATTATAGGTGAAATAATATGCAAACACAAGGTGGTCAGGTGAATTGTTTTCATAGAATACAAGGCATTCTGTGACTTGATGGAGAGGAGGAGATGAGGATGTGACATCATCGCTCCTCATCCAAGCACAGAATGCCTTGTATTCTATGAGAAAATGAATGGCCAAATAGTGAAGAGGGGTGTAAGTGTGACCATAGCCCTTCACTGGTCACGTTACATCTCTCACTCCCCTTCGTGCCCGAAAGTTCAGTGTAATCAGTAGGAGGCGGCATGCTGCAAGGCAATTTTTTTTATACTGTGCAGCTGCCCTCACCACATAACACACAGCTTTTTCATTAAAATTTACACAACCACTGCTGTGTGTAAATTATAATTTTTCCTGGAATTTGGCATCAATAGTGTGAACATCTAATGTTCTTTTTTTTTCTAGACATTTCTAGATAAATATCTGAAAGAGAATGTATCAGTTTTCCTTTCGGGGCAAAGCGACAGGTTCTCTTAAAGCTTATACCCATCCCCACCTCAATTCCGCACACACACACACACACACACACACACATATATGAAACACATTCCAATTTCACTTTTTTATCACGTACAGAGGTAGATGTGAAAGCACAGCAGTTGTCCTATCAGGAAAATAGTAATGAGCCCCATTACTGAAACAAGAGCTGCCAGGCCCAAAATCACGGATGCTTGGGTCTCCACTGGGCAAGCTGGAAGGAACACAAACCATACATGTGACAGGTTCGTCCCACCTAGAAAAAAA